GAGCCAGAGGAGGACACTGCCCAGTGAATTCCGTTCATTCTGCTCTTGGATAGGAGCCACGTGACAAATCTCCTAACTTGTACCTGAACCAGACCTCTGGCTTTTCCAGGACATCACCAGGCTGGGGTGGGGGCAGATGGCATCCTGGGCACCAGGGCACCTGCCGGGGTGTCTTCGGGAGGGAGGTCACAGGCTCAGGCCATTCCGACAGCCATGGCCCTCCCTGCCGTAAGTCTCCGTTTCCTCTTCTGTAAAATGGAGATGAAGAGAGCGCCCACCTCCGTTACCATGGGGATGAAGTGCGAGAGGTGTGAGCATCACAGGCTCTCAGGGGTGCAGGGGCTGTAAGTTAGTGAATAGCCCTGCAGTCCTAAAACAGCACTTTTCAGACCCAGGAAGACCCTAGCTCAGCACCAGCACCCCCATAACACAGCGCTCGTGTGAACTCTGAGCACCAGCGTTTACTTTGATTCTTGGAAAAGACAAGTCCTTCAGGTTTTTCCTCCTTGATTTTGTGTCACAGAACGAAATGCCTGCCCCTCTGGGGCATCTTTCCCATGGTGCCTGGACCACTCCGCCAGCCGCTGCTCAAAGCCGGGTCCCTCCCCAGCAGCCTCAGCCTGGAGCCTGCAGCAAACGGCCAGTCTGGAAGGAGCTCCACCCCAGACCTGCTTAGTCAGCATCTGCGGGCATCAGGGCCCAGGGGACTAGTGTGCTCGCTAACATTTGCATCCTGCATTTCAGCATCCCTGAGAACAGCTGCAGAGATGGATTCTGGGCCCAGCCCAGAAACTCCGGCTCTAGGGTCCTCAGTGGGGCCCAGGAGCTAGTGAGGCCAGCACTGCTGGTCCACGAACCACATTCCAAGCAGCACCCTACCAGAGGGGAATGTCCTTGGCACAGCTTGACCTTGTAGACCTGGCCCACACTGTGGCTCATCTCGAGGGTGGGATTCAGTGTCCCGCGAGGACAGAGCAGCCCGGACAGGAGAGGAGACCTGCTGCGACCGGTGAACTTCTTATTCTGTTGCTCAAACAGCCAGTTTCTCTCTTGCTCTCACTACACACCACCCTGAGGGCTGGCTCCTTGCCGTCGCTCAGGGGCCTGGCTTAACAGAGGCACCACCGTCTTGTGAGTCCACCCCGAGCGCAGCTCCCGCCCTGGAAGGAGAGAGGGCCCGGGGAACCCCACTCGCCCTTCTCTGGCTCCAAATAAAGTGACACCAGCTACCTCCATTTCCCGATGCGTCGGCTGGGGCCAGCCACACAGACCAAACCTGACTGGGAAGTTCCCAGGTGCTGGCAAGGGCAGGAGGACCTGGCAGTGAGCCCTGGGAACTCATACAGGGAAGCCCAGGAGTCCCAACAGGCCCGGGGGGGTACCAGGGTCCTGGCTCCTGGCCCCCGCCCCCACCCCGTGAAGCCTAGTTCTCTACCCCACACTTCACATGAGCCAGCCTCCCTGATTCTCAGGGATGGAGTGGGTCATCCATTCAGCCAGCACACGAGTCAGGGACCTCCGGGTTGGCGAGGTAGGGGGGGCTGTGGCCTCAGAGTTCACAGTCAACTCAGGGAAACTGACACTAACCAAAATGCAAAGAATAATTATACAAGCTCAGTTGTGAGGAATGAATGCCTCCACGGAAAAGACCTGAGCCAGGGACAGGGCCGACTTGGGATTCTGGGAGGTTCCTCTGATCTGAACTGCCCCCAAAGGGGAAAGGGAACTGAGGGGGAGGGAGCACTAGGGGGCCCGGCAGCATTTTCAGCAGGGGGGTGAGAGGAGAGGAGCACCCACATACTCAGAGGGTGTCCAGCAGTGAGGTGAGTGGCACGGTTAGAGTTACAGCTGAATAACCACTAGCGCTTACCAACAGGCTGCACGACTGTTACTTGACCTCACCGTTATCCCACGTGACAGGTATTGTCTGTCACTATCCCCAATTTCCAGATGCGAAGACCGCAGCTGGAAAAATTAAATGACTGCCCGCGTGGCATTGCTGGGAGAGGCGGAGGCAGAACTCGGACCTGCAGAGCCCTCCGCCTTCCCTGGCTGCAGGAGGGCCCTTCTTGCGCCTCACTGAGCAGGGCTGGAGGGAACTCGGAGCTTAGACTGGGGAATGGGAAGATCAACGATTTGTCACCCCAGGACTCAGAGACTTGAGTGTGAGCAGTGGACAAGCCCAGGTGGCTGGCTTAGACCCCCGAGTGGTTGGTGGCATCATCACTGAGCAGCTGGAGGAGCCGCGGGTCTGCAGGAGGCAGCCATGAAACTCAGCCAGGAGACAGCACAGGTTTGCCAGGCCAGGCCCCCCGAGAGCAGAAGGGTTCGGGGCAGACATTCTTGGCAGCGTTTGGGGAGAGGCCCTAATTCCAAAGGTGACCAGGGCCAGGCAGGTAGCACAAGTGAAGCAGGCTGGTGTAAGCCCTGGGGACCCCTGCACCACAGCTGCATGCCCCGCCCTGCCCCC